ACCAGAACATGAGGAGCGGGATGTCCATCCACCAGAATATGAGGAGCGAGACGTCCATCTACCAGAACATGAGGAGCGAGAGGACCATCCACCAGAACATGAGGAGCAAGAGGCCCATCCACTAGAACATGAGGAGCGAGACGTCCATCTACCAGAACATGAGGAGCGAGAGGACCATCCACCAGAATATGAGGAGCGAGAGGCTCCTCCAGAAGAAAGATTGGTCGAAAACAGTGCTTTAACATGGAATAAAAGTGAACAGCGTTGGGAATCTGCAACCGATTTGAAGGACGTTCTTAATTTGGGAAGTGTGAGTTATGGCAGAACCTTGGAAGGACCGTGAATCAGGTGGTTATATCTCCTGCTAGCACTTCTATTTAGAAAACAGGTACGTTTGAGCATTGAATGGTGTGTTACCATGCATTTTTTTGTTTTGTTTTGGTTGATGCCTGGGAATATTTCCATCCAATCCATCTCCTCCACATCCAACCCATTCCAGTCCAATCGACTCAGTACCAGTTTTTGTTTCATATTTTGTTTATTTCAGATTCACAAATGTACGTGTATACTTTTGTAGATGTTGATGTATGTGAAAAGAAGATAGATACTGGCAAGTCTTCCTGTACACTGATCCACTTATACCGCCATGTTTTGGCCACTACACCAGATTCCCTTTGATAATTTTCTTCATTTTTCATGTAATCCCCATCCTCCATCTTTATTTCTCATAGAAACTAAAACTTAAAGTTCAAACATTTTCTAGGGATTCTGGTAGACGTGTCATTTATGGACCTTTTTATCTTGGGCGTTTAAAAGTTTTCCCATTTCAGACCATGTGTCATTCTTTTGAGACTAAGATTCTTTTTTAAAGTCATATCGATATTTGTGTGCCTTCTCATGCGCAACTGTTAAGATAAAGAAATAATACTCTAGAGAATAACACATCGTTTGATGTGGGAAACATCACACCCTAGCTAAAAGTGTCTATTCATTTTAATTGGGAAGATGTATTCAATTATTAGGTTTAATCATAAGAGTTTGATAAGTTTTTTGCACACGCTTGCACCCATCAGCATGAAATTTCATCTTTACGAATATTTATTTCATACGTGAACATTCGTAAAGGTCGATCGAATGAATAAAATAAATAGCACAAGGAATTGTACTGTTGGCCACGGTTTGCTGAAATCAGGAATATCACCTTCAAAAAAAAGCTCTTATCAATATTCTGAAACAACCAGTAGGCGCTTGTTTAAAGTAAGGGCATGGCTTATTCACAGATAAAATTGGAATTTAGCGTGTTGGATTTTCGGAGGGAGGAACCAAGAGAACCCGGAGAGAAACCCTCGAATCAAGGCGGCGCCTAACGAACTCTACTCACATGTCATGTGATACCGAGTGCGACACGAGTGAAAAACTTCTGCGCATGCTTTGAATCCGTATGCAAATTACTCAAAGCATATGTAAATTTGACTTTCAAACATGCCTGATAAATTGGACTTCACAAAATGCCAAAACTTAGTGTCCATGCTTGAAACTTAAGAGTAATACTTTCATGTTGTTTTTGTTAATACAGTATCTTGGTCTGACAAAAGTATACTCGCGAAATTTTTTGTATACTTGGAGAAAACAAACATTTATTTTCTCATTCGAACTCTTGATATATTCTTAGAAAAGGTGCTGAATTGCACGCATGCGCAAACGTTTTTCTCTAGTGTCACCGAGTGCACTAATAGAGAGCTTAAGCTCTCTAATTACTCCAATCCAGAACCCCAGAGGTAAAAAAATCGAGTGTACCTACACCACACTTGATTGTTTGATGTATTTAATTTTGCGGCTCGAAAATAGTGCCCGACCGATTAATGAAACAATATAAAACAATAGAACAATACAATTCGAGGACATAGCTACATGCAGCGTGAGACTCTGGACTCTATTAGCATGGAACATTCTCATTTAGGTGACGATACTGTTCATGATTCATTTCATACGTTTTTTGTAAACGTTCTCGAGATCATTAGAATTCAGTGCTTTTGACTGCATTTGGTTTCGGCCAAGATTCAGCGAACTCACTACATTGGTAAGTTGTTTGATTTATTTCAGAGATTCAAAATATATTTAAGAAATATTGAAGCAATATGCGTCAACCAAATGTCGAATTTCTTGCCAGTTGTATTTACCAGCAGCATTTATCTAGTGTTGAAGCGCTTCTCTGAAACAAGTAGCTCTGCGACATTTTCTGCAACAGGATCTCTATAAAACATTTACTCGTAGCGACCTTTCTGCATATTTAGTCCTTACGCAACATTTCTAGAGGTTATGTACATAACCAAATGCGGAATCGTGCAATATTGTGGGCAAAAGTACAGGTATGGATTCAATAAAGTATCTACAAGTATAGACTATTATGTTTACTTTCGTTCGATTGTTTACGCGGGGGAGAGAGGGGTGGGGAGGAAACGGTGTTAGCTGAAATAGTACAGTTATACAACTAGACAGCCGCTATCCAAGCAACCGACCGACCGCCAACCGAGCAACCAACCAAACAAACCAATCAATCAAATCAATCGATCAACCAACCAAACAAACCAACCAAGTGATAGACATGCAAACTCAAACAAACAACCCACCAATAAAAAAACAAAAAACAAAAACAAAAAAAAACAACAAAAAAACAATGAAAAAATACAACAAACACTGAATACAACTAAAAGCACAAATGGGATAGTATTAATTTTATTTCAGTAGATCAAAACGAACTACTATCATGTTGAAGTGCTTAGTACAACAATGCATAAATTAATGTGCTAAGTTGTTGAACAAGATTTTCAGTTTAGGAATCAAATATTTCTTGTGTCATTCCTTAGGACTGACTTTTGTATTGACTCAAAAGTGTTATTGCTAGCTAGTTTAGTAGCGTGTCATATTAGAGCTTCGAAGAATCTATTCTGTGTGCTGGAATCTTGAATATTGACGGAACGTCATTTTCGCAATTTAGTCCTTAACTAGCAAAGGCAATCGCTTTGTACAGCCAGCATCTCGCAAAGCCTGTTTAAAAAAAACAAACAATCAGAGCGGGCCAGAGACTGATAGACCTCCCTTTTACTTTAGGTTAAATAAACATATCCAATCCCTTATGGAATATATTATTATGCATCCATGTGAAAGAACGTAAGCTTAATTCAAATTAATTATTATAAAAGGAAATTATAAAATAACAGTTATAAATGTCGCGCCAAGATTGGTTGAGAGGACGTGCTTTATGAGAGCACACAGCACGCTCGTGCACTTCCAGTTTCGTCATTCCTGTAATTTGTATTTTATAAAAGAAATAAAAAAACGTGCTTGCTGTGCTGTGTGGAGTTATAAAGCACTTGGGGATTGGCAGAACACTCGAGAAGTGTCGAGAAGCACTCCGCCACGCGTCGCGCTTCACCTAACACTTCTCTCGTGTTCTGCTAACCCCCGCGTGCTTTATAACTGCATACAGCACGCGCGCGCGTTTTCTATTTCTTCTTATAAAATAACTGTTATGAATGTCGCGTTCTGATTGGTTTGGAGCGCGTGCTTTATGAGAGCACATTGCACGCGCGCGCACTTTCCGTTGCGTCATTCTTATCTATTAATGTAATTTGTATTTTATAAAAGAAATAAAAAACTTGCTTGCTGTGCCGTGTGCAGTCATAAAGCACTTGGGGATTGGCAGAACACTCGAGAAGTGTCCAGAAGCACTCCGCTACGCGTCGTGCTTCTCCTAACACTTTTCTCGTGTTCTACCAACCCCCGTGTGCTTTATGACAGCACACAGCACGCGCGCGCGTTTTCTATTTCTTCAATTAAACTTGGTCTGAAATGGAACTCATGTAGAAACACTTATCATGTAGGGAAACGAACCTTCTTTGGGTGCAGCAGTAACGGCATCTGAAGTTTCTCTTGTACTCCATTTGGACTTCATAATCCGTCAGGGATCGATGGGCCTCTGGTACTAATTCTGAATAGGAATTCATACAAAGTGTTTTAATACTCAGTTTCTTACGAGCCGTTAGCTACAGGGCGAGTTTTGAATTGAAGTTAGCATGGCTGTATGCCTTCGTTGTCACATCTCTTAATTAAGGTGTACTTAGGGACGGCGGTATCATTTTTCACGCGAACTAAATCTCAATTTAGTTGTCTTAGTTTGAGTTCTGGGGTAAAAAGGCGTGATGTAAAATATGGGACAATATACATCACGCTCAAGTCGTCACAAATGTTGT